CCAGCGCTTAACCTCCTGTGCCATTGGACCTCCTTTAGCTGTCCCTGTGGGAGTGAAATGGTATCTGATTGTGGTTTTGCGTTGCATCTCTGACGTTAGTGACTGAGCAAATTTTCATGTGCTGGGTGGCCATTTGGATGTCCTCCTCAGTGAAAAGGCTCTTCAAGTCCTTAACCCATTTTAGGTTTGACTTCTTTGCCTTTTTATTGTGTTAAATTGTTTTATATATTTTTTGGTTGGTAGATTCTTGTCGAATGTATGGTTTCCTAATATATTTTCCTCATCATTAGTTGACCTTCTCACTTTTTTTGGTAAAGACTTAATGGACACAAGTTTTTAATATTTGTGCACTGTTTTGTCCTGGCGTAGCACTGTGGGTTAATGTGCCATAGTGCAGAGTTGATTTGAACTGCAAAGTCGGTGGTTTAAGCTCACCAGTCGCTCCTCAGAAACCTTATACAGGGTCCCTATGGGTTGGAACTGACTTGACGGCACTTAACAACAACAACAACAATTTTGTCTTTTGGTGTTATATTAGACCATCATTGTGGAAAGAGAGGCCCAACTGCACCGCCCAGCTCTTTCTGCTAAGAGCTTTCTGGTTTTAGCTTGCACCTTCAGGTCCTTAATCCTTTTTTATTTGGTTTTGTTTGTGGTGTGGGGTGTGGCTCCTGTTTCATTTTTCTGCCCTGTGGGAATACAGTTTTCCCAGCACCATTCATTGAAGAGACCCTTTTCCCCACCAAGGAGACTCACGGGTGTATGGGTTTATTTCTGGAATCTTAATTCTATTCCATTGGTTTGTGTGTGTGCTGTTTAGGGTATTGTAGCTTTGTAGTGTGTTTAAAGCAGGAAGTGTGGGTCCTACTTTGTTCTTCTCTTTCAGCTTCAGCTGTTCAGGGCCGCTCAGCTTTCCACACAGAGTTGCGGATTGGCTTTTCTCTTTCTATACAGAAGACTGTCGGAGTTTTTATCAGGATTCAGCTGACTAGTCCTCCAGTTGATGAACCACCTTTCTGTTATTTGAATCTTAATTTCTTCTAGCAGATTTTTCTAGTTTTTACGTATAACTAACTCCTTCACGTTCTTGGTGAGATTCTTAGATGTTTTATTTCCTTAGATAGTGTTGTAGATAGAATTGTTTCTTCGGTTTCCTTTTCAGAATTTTCCATTGCTGGTGCACAGATGATCTTGTGTGCTACATTTTGCCAAAGTCTCGTGTTAGCTTTTGAAGTTTTCTGGTTTATTCTTTGGGATTTTCTGCATATTGTTATTAAGTGTCGTAGAGTTGGTTCCTACTCTTAGCCACCCTGTATAGGGTTTTTGAGGGGCACCGACGTTTTGGCTCAAACCAACTTTGTGGTCCAGTGTTTATCTTGTGGTCCACGTCAGGACTCCTTTCTATGTATTATTGTTGTAAAGTGTTGTTGAGTCAGCTCTGACTCATAATGACCCTTTATAGGGTTTCCAAGGAACAGCTGATGGGATTGAACCGCTGACCTTGGGGTTCGCAGTCCAGTGCTGACCCCGCAGTGCCAACCGGAAACCCGCTACTGTCAAGTCGGTTCTGACTCATAGCGACCCAATAGGAGAGAGTAAACTTACTGTGGCTGAGACTGTAAATCCTTATGGGATTTACAGAGTCACATCTTTCTCTCAAGGAGCAGCTGGTGGGTTTGAACCGCTGACCTTGGGGTTAGTAGTCCATCACTTACCCCACCATAGCACCAGGGCTTTTGTGTTTCCAGTCTGGGCGTCTTCTATTTCTTCTTCTGGTCTGACTGCTCGGCTGGGACTTCTAATATAATGCCGGGCACCGTACCTTGTTCCTGATTTCAAGGAGAAGGAGTCATGTGGGCTGTTGGCCTTTCCTATGTGCCCTGCATCACACTGAAGATTATTACTCCTATTCCAGTCTCCACTGGGGTGTCCATCAGGAAAGAGTCGAGGAGTTGATCACATGGTTTCTGTGCGTCCTTGGAGTTGGTGTCACCCTAGGAGGTTTTACACTGGATTTTCACAGGGTGAGGGACACCCGTTCTCTCTGTGCTGCTTTGATTGTACGCTGTCCTGGACTCCGGACGCTGGGTGTCTGAGGGCAGCGCATCTGCTCACATTGCCTGGCTGCGGCCTGGTCTGGCCCAAGAAAACCGTGTCTGGTATCTGCAGCTCCCAGTCTCGGCTGCCACAGCATCCCAGGCCGCCGGGAATCATGTGGAGCTGCTTGTTCCAATGGCGATCTCAGGTCGGTGAGACTGTTGTTGAGAGCGTAGGTGCACACAGGTATGGGGGGGTGACTCTGAGCAGGGTCTGAGACCGATGCTGTGGTGATGGGGGCGAGCCGGGGAGGTAGGGCTCACACCAGTACTTGGGTGATCCGTCACAGATGAAGGGTCATCACTGTGTGCTCTCTCAGGTATGTCAGAGCATGTGAGAGCCATGTAGCCTGTCCTGTCAGTCACTGTGTGCTCTCTCAGGTATGTCAGAGCATGTGAGAGCCATGTAGCCTGTCCTG